CTTCGTGCCCTTCGTGGCCCTGCTGTCGTTCTCTCTCGCTCTCGCTTTCGCTCGTCGTCGTCGTCGACGTCGTCGTCGTCGTCGCCGTCGTCTTCGACGTCGTCGTCGTCGTCGTCGTCGTAGTCGTCGTCGTCGCCGTCGTCGTCGTCGTCGTCGTGGTCGGTCTCCTGTCCGTCCCTCTTTGGGTCGGGTCGACGGTCCGCGGCCGCCACGCCGATCAGCGCTGCCGCTGGCCAGGCCGACGGTCCGCGGCCGCCCCGCCGCTTGCCGGGGCCCGGCCTGCAGGGAAGAAAGGTATACCCCCCAAAAGGGGTTCGATCGAAGACGAAGAGGGCGGGTATCGAGGGTTGGGGGCGCTGGACACTCGAGCATATAAGGGCGAACAGTCTTAAAATGACTGTTGCTGTTGTTGTTGTTGTTGTTGTTGTTGTTGTTGTTGTTGTTGTTGTTGTTGTTGAATATTATAACTTCTAAAGAAATATTATTGTTGAGACCCCTGGTGCGCGACCCCCCTCCAAAACCTAGGCCGCAGCCTCATTTCCTTCATTTTCTAGCGAAAGCTTCAGAAAAGTGGATTGTCACCGGATCCGGTTTTTTGTTCCCCCCCGCTTTCCCTTGCAAAAAACACTATAAAATGACATTTCTTGTTCTAATATAATCAAATTTCAAGAATCCCTTGCAAAAAATAAGGTAAAGTGGACATTCGCGCGCGCAAGACGAAATCCTTCCAAAAGCTTAGTGTTCGGAGCGATTTTAACATAAAAACATCAAAAAACCAATGGTTTTTCAACAAAAAATGTCAAAATCTCATCCCGCGCGCTCTTGCGGATTCGTAGGAAAACCAACACTTTTTAAACATTTCTGTCAAACGGGCTTTTGCGAGCAACTTTTTCGAACTTCTGCGACAACGGTTGCGCACCTGCCAGGGCCATCATCCCTGTCAAATAATACCATCCGCGCATGTGCCCACATGGCACAATTGCACCATGCTGGGCACATGCGCGCCCCGAATAAGTGACCAAGTTCTGTGGGTGTGTACCCCACGCCAGTGTAGTAGCCACGGTCGTCCGCACGCCACGAAGTGAAGTGTCCCAACGTCATAGGGCGGGAAGCTGGGTTTGGGTGGTCGCGAAGAGTCGTTTGGATATTTGGTAGAGCTTGTAATGCCCCCCCACGAAGTGGGGGTATTGCCTGGTGTCGTATGAAAACCCTGGCACTGGGGAGAACACCACGCGTTCGGGTAAAATGATTGTTGTTGTTGTTGTTGTTGTTGTTGTTGTTGTTGTTGAATAATTCTCACTTCTGCAGAATAATTATTGTTGATCCCCCTCACCAGTGCATGTGGTTTTTCTCAATCAAAGTGTGCCCTTCGACGCTCGCACCCTCTTTTTTTTGACAGGGAACGTCTTCTTGCTCAAACTGACCCCATGGCCCCCGGGTTACAATGACAACGGCTCCCGCCTGAGACTTTCCCATGATTTAGCCAGGACCCCCGCTTCCGTCCGAGACTTCCTCGCATTTTATTCAGGAATCGCGCTCTCGCTTGGGACGTCCTTACAATTTATGCAGGAATCGCTCTCCCAGCGCTCTGGAGTCGCGCTCTCGCTGGAGACTTGCTTGCAACTTACTGAAGAATGGCCTTGCGTTGGAATTTCCTGCAATTTGCCCAAGCGCCGCGCTCCCGACACCCAGGCACCCAGAAGTCGCGCCCGCTGTGGTCCCATGTGCATGCCCTTCGTGGCCCCGCTGTCGCCCTTCGTGGCCTACTTCGTGCCCTTCGTGGCCCTGCTGTCGTTCTCTCTCGCTCTCGCTTTCGCTCGTCGTCGCCGTCGTCGTCGCCGTCGTCTTCGACGTCGTCGTCGTCGTCGTCGTCGTCGTGGTCGGTCCCCTGTCCGTCCCTCTTGGGGTCGGGTCGACGGTCCGCGGCCGCCACGCCGATCAGCGCTGCCGCTGGCCAGGCCGACGGTCCGCGGCCGCCCCGCCGCTTGCCGGGGCCCGGCCTGCAGGGAAGAAAGGTACACCCCCCAAAAGGGGTTCGATCGAAGACGACGAGGGCGGGCATCGAGGGTTTAGGAAATACGCGTGGACGGACACTCGAGCATATAAGGGCGATCAGTCATAAAAGTGTTGTTGTTGTTGTTGTTGTTGTTGTTGTTGTTGTTGTTGTTGTTGTTGTTGTTGTTGTTGTTGTTGTTGTTGCTGTTGCTGTTGCTGTTGCTGTTGCTGTTGCTGTTGCTGTTGCTGTTGCTGTTGCTGCTGTTGTTGTTGTTGTTGTTGTTGTTGTTGTTGCTGTTGTTGTTGTTGTTGTTGTTGTTTTTTGTTGTTGTTGTTGCTGCTGTTGTCGTTGTTGTTGTTGTTGTTGTTGTTGTTGTTGTTGTTGTTGTTGTTGTTGTTGTTGTTGTTGCTGTTTTTGATGTTGTTGTTGTTAAACTCTCATTTCTGAAGAATAATTCTTGTTGGTCCCCCCTCGCCGGTGCATGCTTTTGTTTCCAAATCAAAC